CCTTCCTTTCCTGGCTGCTGCTGGCTGGGGCCTTCCTTCATTCTGTGCCACCCCCAGTGGTCAGTACATGTCATAGTGAGAGAGCAAACTAACTCCCAGTCTCCCAGTTGAACTCCCGAGGGTATACTTTGCATATTAGCTATACACACACACACACACACACACACACACACACACACACACACACACCATATTTTCCGGCGTATAAGACGACTTTTGAAACGAAAAAAAGTTAACCAAAAATCAGGGGCAAAAGACCAAAATTGCACAAAAATTACCTGCAGATCTTGATGGCAAAGTAAGTTTTTTTCTTTGAAGTGGGGGGTAGTCTTATACAGCGAATATAGGCCTAAACCTATGTTTTAACTGTAAAAATTAGGGGGTCGTCTTATATGCCGGAAAATGCGGTGTGTGTGTGTGTGTGTGTGTGTGTGTGTGTGTATGTATATAATTTTTTTTCTTTTTTTCTGAGTCATAATCTCCCATCTCAATTTAACTTCCTATTGTATTTATAACCCTGAAATATGTGTGTATTAATATTTTAGCTTGTTACCATATACCTTTATTGACTGATTGTAAATCCTGTCAGGGTTGGTACCATATCTTACATCCCTTTTCTTTCCAGCTGTACTGATCACACTGCCACATTGCTTGCAGAAGACCATAATCAAAGTCAGGCTTGAGGGGAAAATCTTAGGACAGTAAGAGTGCTCTTTGAGAATTCCTACTGGGACCACTTAAAGAACTTAAAATGCTGACATTTTATGTGACTGGAGAATACTACGTCCAGCTTTACAATGCAGATCTACTCCTGCAAACAAAAAAATTACCTTATGATTCCTTTACTACCTAAATCGAATTGCTTACCTGTGAGAGTAGTTACAAATGGACCAAAGAGTTTGCATGGTTTAATAAGTCCAGAGAGTGTCACTATGCACCGTAACACAGTGCAATTCAAATAAACCACTTGTGGGAGGTGATTTTTACTCAGTATTTAAAAAAAAAAGATAGATGTGGACTCACAAAGAGTGGCAAGAGACAACTCTAGGGAAGGAGACAAACATTAAACAACTCATCAAAGCCACGACTGCTTAGCTGGAACCTTCAGGCAAACCCAGGAGCATTATTTCCTGACTGAGGAACATTTGTGCCATTCCATCTGAAACATCTGACTGCCTGAAGGATGCTCAAGGGAAGGCCCTTTAAAATAGTCATATGTTCTTTCATATGTCAGGAAGCAATTCAGACCATTATTTGGTCTGAATGGAGAGCAGAATTGGTGGTGAAGAGTAAAGGGGAACATGGGAAAAATAAATTAATTTTAAGTACCAGAGTCACAGGGCTTCCTCATAATTAAAAACAAACTCAGTAATTAAAAACAAAAATTATCTTGACATTTAAAAAAAAAATAGATGGCTTTATTTTATTTTATTTTTTTTAAATATATTTTATTGATTTTTTACAGAGAGGAAGGGAGAGAGATAGAGAGCTAGAATCATAGATGAGAGAGAAACATCGACCAGCTGCCTCCTGCACACCCCCTATCGGGGATGTGCCCGCAACCAATGTACATGCCCTTGACTGGAATCGAACCCGGGACCTTTCAGTCCGCAGACCGACCCTCTACCCCTGAGCCAAACTGGTTTCGGCTATATGGCTTTATTTGTTTCTCTGAAGCATTACTGTTGCTTTTACTAATGCAGAAGCACCAAAATATCAAGACCTAGAAATAATTTTTTTTAATTTTTATTTTCTTTTGATTGACTTCCAAAGAAAGCCTTCTTGTGTTTAAGTATAGTTATATTTTCTCACCATGTATCTGGAAATGATAGTGCTGGATCATATCAATTTGCTAAAGAAAAACAAGGTATTAATTCACCCAAATCTACATTAATTGTGTTGAGCTAAGTCCTAATCAAAATATAAAAGTGTGGTTGTTTTGAACAGGAGAATTGAGTAAAAATACATTTACCTAACCATTAATATTAATGCATTGTCAAGCTATCATTTGCATTCACTACTCCAACGTGTAAATTAATTATAAGATGCCCTGTATATCTTTTATTATTAAAATTCTATTGTGAATTCAATTAGCAAAGATATATATTATAAATGAAAGAAATATCCTGATTTATGAGCTTGACATTTAGCATGGTTAAGAGATTAAAACTTTATAGTATACTAGAGTCCCAATGCACAAAGATTTGTGCAAGAATGGGCCTTCCTTCCCCTGGCTGCCAGCACCACCTTCATTCTGACTGAGCCTTTTCGCTCCAGCCCTGAATTGCCTTTCTGCCTTCCCATGCTGCCAGGAGGCCAGGAGCAGCTGGAGGAGTGTGGAAGCCTGCGAGGACGCAAGAATTCCACCCTGCCCCAGGCCACCCAGTGCCTGCACTTGCAAATTAACCCACCATCTTTGTTGGGTTAATTTGCATACTTACCCCTAATTGGCTGGTAGGCATCACAAATGTATTGTCAGTTTGCATCTTACTCTTTTATTAGTGGAGATGAACTACAATTGAAAAGATTGGTATTCTTTTTAACTAATATAACTCACTGCTGATTGCTGGCATCAGTTCTCCTGTATGTAAAATGAGAGTTTGTTTTTAGAGCCACACAACAATAGAAAATACTCAGTAAGTTATATATATCAGATTAGAGAACCTAGGAAACAAACAAAACAAGGCAAAGTTCTTTGGTAAAGGTCACACTACTAGGGGCTGCTCAGCTAAGATTTGATTTCCTGTCTTACAGAAAGTTCTATTTTCCTTTAACACACTGCCCCCTAAATTAAGGCTTTTCTTCAAGTTCAGTTTTTATCAACAAAAAGGTATGTTCAGTCATTATTTCAACAAATATTTATTAAGTACTTACTACACACAAGGTTCTGAGCAAAACAATTCAAATTGGGTTCTTAAATGCATGTATTGATTTGTCTGTGGTTATTAGTGTAGCAAACATCTCAAATGAATTGATTGAAAACACTATTCAAGACCTTATTTAAATGTGCAACCAGGGAACAATGCTTCAGGGATAGCCAGTGCAAGGTTTGGTTTCTAGGCTCTAGGTGACAGGAAAATAAATGGGGGTGACTACATATATTTGCTGGACTAGGCACTAGGAAAACATGTTTGGTTACAGTGTTGAATTAGCTGCCAGGTTGTCTGAAGGTGATGGCAAGTTTATCAGCTGTGTGGGTTATCAATCACTACACTATCAATGAATGGAAACATCCAACAGAAATGCTTTATTAAATACTAGTAGCCCATCATGCAATATCAAGCACAGTAGGCTGCCCGCTGTTTCCATGGGAGCCCTGTGGCTTCCTTGGTAACAGGGAGGGACTGCGCTGATTCCATGGGAGGCGGGACCACCAACTCCTCTCTGGGCCTGCACTCTGCCATGGAGGCTGTAGGCTGGCCCCTCTGTCTCTGTCTCCATCTCCACTCACCTGTGTGTGCAACCCACTCCTGTCTGGTCATGACCTGTTGCAGAGTTCCAGCCTAATTTGCACATTTCCTCTTTATGTAGATAATAGATGCTGTTAGAAGTTTGCTTACATATGCTATCAGAAATGCTGGCAATGTGTTTTTGTGTTTGTTTTTTTCTCTAGGTACGGGTCTTTTTTTCTGGGTGTTTTAATAGACTATTTTTATAGAGTATATGGTTTTCCTTATATACATCTTATGCATATTTTGTCAGGTTTATATTTATAGATTTTATTTTTTGTTGGGGTGTTATGAAAATGGCATTGTTTACAATTTCAAATTCAACTTCCTCATTGCTGTTATAAAGGAGTTTTAGTAATTTCTGTATATTAACGTGTGCACATTTCTTTCTCTTTTTTTTTTGGAATATATTTTATTGAGTTTTTTACAGAGAGGAAGGGAAAGGGATAGAGACTTAGAAACATCTATGAGAGAGAAACATCAATCAGTTGCCTCCTGCACACCCCCTACTGGGTATGTGCCCGCAACCAAGGTACATGCTCTGGACCAGAATTGAACCTGGGACCTTTCAGTCCGCAGGCTGATGCTCTATCCACTGAGCCAAACCGGTTTTGGCCTGTGTGCACATTTCTATGTGGACATACATTTACAACTCTCTTGCAAACTTACTTTAAATCACGTATTAGTTCTAGGAGTTATGTCAAATCTCTCAAATTTTTGACATAGTTAATTGTCATCTGCAAACAAAGACAATTTTATTTCTTTCTTTACAATTTGAGTATGTTTTATTTTCTTTTCTTGCATTATAAGACAATTCTGATATGGTGTTGAACAGGAGTGGTCAGAGAAGGTACTTTTGCCTTGTTTCTGATATTTGCACTAATGCTTCTAGTTCTTTACCCTTAAGTGTAATGTTAGTTGTAGGGTTTTATTTTGTTTTGTTTTAGATATTCTTTAATTAAGGTGAGAAAGTTCTTCTTTATTCCCACTTTGGAGAGAGTTTTTATCATGAATAGGTATTGAATTTTGTCAAATGCATTTTCTGTATTTGTTGATATGATCATGTGATTTTTCTTCTCTACCCTGGAGATGTGATTGATTACATTTATTAAATTTTTTAATGTTGGATCAGTTTGCATGTGTTATAATCCCACTTATTCATAGTGCATAATTCTTTTTATACATTTTAAAATTCCATTTTCTATTATTTTATTGAGGATTTTTTTCATCTATTAATATATTCACATGATATATTGTTATTTAGTTTCCTTGTAATTTCTTTAGTTTTGATAGTAAGGTAATGATGGTCGCTTAGGAAGTATTTTTTCTGCTTCTGTCTTCTAGAATAGATTGTAGAGAACTGGAATAATTTCTTCCTCAAATGTTTGGTAGAATTTACCAGTGAACCCATCTGGGTGGGCATGGCAATTTTTGTTTTAATCATTAATGATTGGTGGCACTGAGCATCTTTTCATTGTATACTGGTCATTCACAATTTGTTTTGTGAATTGTCTGTTCAAATATTTTTCCCATTACTTGTAATATAATTTTTAAAATATGGAAAGCTTCAGGAATTTGCATGTCATCCTTGTGCAGGGGTCATGCTAATCTTCTCTGTATCATTCCACTTTTAGTATATGTGCTTTTGAAGCAAGGATTATTGTAATATTTCATTATTCAGTTGTCTAAGTGCTTTATTTTTCATAGGTGCTTCAGAGAAATCTAATTATTTATGAAAATATTTATGTCATTGTAAAATTTAAAACAAGATAGAGCTACTGTTAGCCTCCTTGATGAGCTTTCATGGAAAACATCATGAAGACAATAAAATATTTACACATTTGGGCAAAAGTTTTAAATGTTTAAATAGTAATTAAAAAGTATAACTTCTAATACAAATAGAATATGACTAAAATATTTATTATATTATATTTGAAGATATGTATGTATATTTATATATTATATATTTCTATCATGTATATATTTAGAATTAGTATATTTTATTCTACACCATAATATTCTTTTTTTTAAATATATTTTATTGATTTTTTTTTACAGAGAGGAAGGGAGAGAGATAGAGAACTAGGAACATTGATGAGAGAGAAACATTGATCGGTTGCCTCTTGCACACCCCTTACTGGGGACGTGCCTGCAACCAATGTACATGCCCCGGACCAGAATCAAACCTGGGACCTTTCAGTCCACAGACTGATGCTCTACCAATGAAACAAACTGGTTTCAGCAACCATAATATTCTTGATACTGATGTTTCATTGTTTAAAAAAAAAAAAAAAAGGCATTCATCTTCAATTAGTTTGAGCTGCTGAAGTTAATCAGTCACACTCAATTTAAGGTCTAAAATAGTATTTCCATAGTATATCATCTCTATAACTCACTTTTCTGAGAGGATTAATGATATGCAAAGGAGAAATGGCAGAGATACCATTGAAAAGAAGGAATTAAGACTTCAATTAGGAAAGGGAAGAGTTAAAGAACACACAATTATTGTAATGAAATAAATTATCTTGTATTATTGCATTGTTTTAGAGTTTTAACAAGTCTTTAAAATAAATTACTATTTCCTTTTTTTAATAAGAAAGTAAAATAGATTCATTCTTCTAAGTTCTTTTTTTAAAATATATTTTTAAAAATATACCACAACTAAGGTACATGCCCTTGACCGGAATCGAACTAGGGACCCTTCAGTCCACAGGCCGACGTTCTATCTACTGAGCCAAATCAGTCTTGGCCATTCTCCTAAGTTCTACATTTCTGTCAGTAGGTAGGTGGCAAGTATTAATATGGTTTCAGCAATATACTACTTTCTATACCAATACCATTTTAATTAAAAGTTATTAGCTTTTTATATTTATACTAGAGGCCCGCTGCACAAAATTCATGCATGGGTAGTGTCCCTGGGTCTGGTTGGGATCAGGGCTGATCGGGGCCTTCTGGCTGCTGGCCAGGGCCTCTTTCCCTGGCTGCCAGCGACCAGCTGGGACCTTCCTTCATTCCGCAACACCCCCTGGTGGTCAGTGCACATCATAGTGAGTGATAGAACTGTGGGGACACTTTGCACGTTATCTTCTTATACATAGAGATTTTATTTTGGATTTATAGACACTTAAGAGATATATGTGAATAAATTTTACAACTCTACTAAGCTTGTATATTTATATTTACATTTATTTTTATTGATTTTTTTACAGAAATGAAGGGAGAGGAATAGAGAGTTAGAAACATCAATGGGAGAGAAACATCAACCAGCTGCCTCCTGCACACCCCCCACTGGGGATGTGCCTGCAACCAATGTATATGCCCTTGACAGGAATTGAACCTGGGACCTTTCAGTCCGCAGTCTGACGCTCTGTTCACTGAGCCAAACCGGTTTCGGCTAAGCTTGTTATATTTAAACAATATATTGAAAAGAATTTAAGGCCACCTTGCTTGTTCACAGAACTATTTATTTCCTACAAATGGGGGAACATACATTAATCAAGTATTGAAGATCCTAACAGAGTGCTAATATGTAGGCATCTATTACTATTACCAGTTTACTAGTTTCTATTCTATTTTATTCTTAGTTTTAAGGTTACATGGGTATAACAATAACAACAACAAAATAATAATATAAGAAAATGGAAGGTGAGCAGACAGTTAAGCAAAAAGCCTTTTGACTCTACTCCTACTTCATCTAGAGCATCTCTGATTTATTTTGATTCATAAAAAGTGTTGAGTAAAATATTTCTGTTGCTTATAAAATTAAATTATTAGACTGAGTGTTCTCAATTACTTAGTAATTTTGTAAATTATAATTTCAAATGGTTTACCTAGTTCCAAAAATCAAATTTATCCTCAAAGGATAAAGCGTAGCTAAAACTAAACATCAAGGATAAACACCTTTTTCTAGGAGATGAATTAAGTATTTTAGAAGTATAATTTCATTTATTTAGACATTTTTTTACAAAAGCATTAGTGAAAGTTAAAGTAAAATGTATCTTATCTGACTATAAATCTAATACCTTCATTTTGCTAATAAAAATGTATGCCCTAATTGTTACAAGCCCCAGTTTCAAAATCAAGTAATAATAGATTTTGGAATAAAATTCTGTTTTCCTAATAAAGAGTAGATAGGGACCTAACACATTAATATATTTTCTGATCTATCATAGGACTTACAACGTAGGATATTTAGGTATTATATTTAGAAATATTTCCATCACAAGTATATTTCTACCAAGTCTACTGGATTTACCATTCCTGTATAGAAACTTTTCTTCAACACTTGATATTCCAAATAACTATGTGTTTTCCCCAAAACGCAATACCTTTGAAATTCTCACTGTGAAATCCCAGCCATTATTTAAGACCTTCACTATATAATAAAATGCACCTCCTTTAAAACATAAATACAATTTTTTATGCTATACTTCAGAACCTATTGTTGTGTTCAATGTTCCTCTCTTTGGTAACTGTTCTTCAAAATCTTATAATTTTTGTCCTTTTGAATGTTATAATAAAGTCCCTTATTCACCACAGTGAAGTCTATATTCATTGCCCCTGAGAACATTATTTCTCTGAAATGTTCTGCTGAAAATGGATTCTAATGACCAAGTCATTCGGAGAAAACTGCCTATTATGCTTCTGTGGAAATCCACAATGCACAAAAGTATATTAAAGCCTGAGAAATATTCTAAACTTTGCTTAACCTAGAATTTTCCAAATAAATGGACTATTGAAATTTTTGAATACCTTCTGATGTTCTGGGGAACACAATTCGGAAAACTCTGCTCTGGTGACTTTTAGAATTATTCCTGCTACACACACCAAAGGACTTGGGATTTTCTTGAAGCTAACAATGTTAAAGGTGAAGGTGGCAGTGATGTATTGTTTTTATTGCTCTACAATATCCTATTACACAAAAATCCCAATTGGTTATGCATTCCACTATTGATAGATATTTGAATTGTTCCCATTTGGGGGTTATTGTGACTTTCTTTCTTTTTTTAAAATATATTTTATTGATTTTTTTTACAGAGAGGAAGAGAGAGGGATAGAGAGTCAGAAACATGGATGAGAGAGAAACATCTATCAGCTGCCTCCTGCACACCTCCTACTGGGGATGTGCCTAAAACCAAAGTACATGCCTTTGACCGGAATTGAACCTGGGACCTTTCAGTTCTCAGGCTGATGCTCTATCCACTGAGCCATACTGGTTAGGGCTGTGACTTTTTTGTGAATGCCTTTTGTTAGACATGTATATTCATTTCTCTTAGAGTATAATTGTGAGGTCATAGGGCTGCCATGTATTTAACTTTAATATGTAATTTCAAAGTGTTTGTGCTAACATATCTGTTTTTTATAAAATATTTCAGAGTTGCTCTTAGGAATTATTTTAATTTCAAATCTTCCTTTTGTCTACCTACATAGAAAGAAATGAGATGTGAGCAGATGATTTATTATTGCTGCTACTGACAAATGTTCAGTAGAATAATTACAGTGTGATTAAATGACTGAATATTCATCTTTCAAGAACAAAATACTACAATTGAGGCTCCAAAATTTCTTACTAAGGCCATTTTTGAAAGTATAATACAATGGAAATTAGTAAGCAATATCAGACACAGAAAAGCTCTTTCTTCAATTATGAATTTACCCTAATGATAAACAAATCTCATAACTTTATAGTTTAAGATTTTCTGGAAGACATATCCCTCTTTTGACATGTAAGAAAATAGTGACTATCAATTTAAACTTCCCATAGCCTTTGTATCTATTATAAACAGCAAAGGTCCTAATTAATTACCTATAATAATCTATAATAATAAAAGCATAATATGCTAATTAGACCAGACAACCCAACAACTTTTTGGATGTCCTTCCAGGTGGCCTTCCAGTTGAAATTGGGGCTGCAAGGGCTGAGATCTTTGCGTGAATTTCATGTATCTGGCTTCTAGTTTAATATAAAAATCTCTCAGATATGGTATTCATAATTATAGTCTAAAATAAGACATTGAAGCACAGCTTCTAGCCTCAATCCCTACTAGGATTAAATTCAACATTTTACTTTTTGTAATGTTTGCTGGTAGTTAGCAAAACAAGATTTTACTATAGAAAACACTTCTCTGAAAGATAGCCTGCCCCTGGGAAGCATGATACTTTCTGTAAGAGAAGTTTGGGATTTTTAACTGGCAATTTGAATGACCTAGTAGTCTTTAGGCTAGTCCAAATTTTCCAGAAGTGAAGAATTAGCTGAACACAATGAAGCAATGACAAAATCAACAAAGCAAAATAAATAAATAAATAAAAATAAAGAGCACTGCCACACTTCAGTGGTTTTCTTTAAAAAAAAAAATCTTTTATTGATTTCAGAGAGAGGAAGAGAGAGGGAGAGAAGTAGAAATATCAATGATGAGAGTCATCAGTTAACTGCCTCCCACATGCCTCCTATTGGGGATCGAGCCATAATTCAGGCCTGTGCCCTGACAGGAAATCAAACCATAACCTCCTGGTTTATGGTTGGATGCTGAACCACTGAGCCACACCAACAGGGTTGGTAGTTTTCATTTGTATTGATTGGAACACCAAAGTCTTATGTTACTGCTATGTTTTCCCACCTGCACTTGTAGTACCTTCCAATGTTAAGTGCTATTT